AATTTTTAGTTTTGTATTCTGTTTAACAATATATTTTATATAGCATGGTATAATATACATTATTAATATATTGATTACCCTTTAAGGCATTATCGTAATAAAAAAAAAAATAACTTTAAGAAGGCCTTATAGTTAAGGTAAAAGTATACAATAGATAAATTAAGTCTTAAACTACTCAAGATCAGATAAAGATTACAGAGATATTAATTAAATGCAAGAAACTCATGGGTAATCTAAATATCACAGTCATTTATCACTTGATATGCTATAAATAAAACTAATTGCTAAATGGTTAAGTATCCAATATCATTGAAATTAAGAACCTATATGTATATTTTATTCAGTTGTGTATTTGTAGTTGTGTGTGTATCAAGGGGAGTAATCAAGAGGCTGCCTCTGAGTTTTTTATGACTTGGTGTAACCACTGTACCCTGGTAGGTAATAGCCCATATCTCATACGACATAATTTAGTATCAACTTAAACAGTTAATTACAAATATTTCAGTTATTGGAGCTGCAAGGTGTGAGAAACATTAAATCACAAAACAATTAATTAGATTAAACTATCCTCTGAAAACTTTATCATACAACTATAGGTASWTAGAATAATATAATATAAATTCTAGGATGCAAATATGCAATATCCTACTAGTTTTAATTATTTTTATTAACTAAGCGTATTTAAAAATTATCTATTTGAATAAATTAATGAATCAACGAATATTGTTTGAGTTATAAAAATATAGTAAATATTTGAGCTTGGCGGCCAGCGATATTATAATTTGTTGTTTATTCCAAGCCGAACAGATATCACACATTTCTTCCATGATACTGATATAAACCTTTTTTTTCTAGTGATATTAACCGTTTTTATTTACTGTCTGGTTGTTGATATTTTGATAACAGATGATATGCTGGTAACCGGCTAATATACAATATCATAAACAACGTACCTCATTACCGCCGCCGTTAGGTGTTGGTAGTCGGTGTTTTCTGAGTGGGAAGTGGGAAGGTAGTTGGCGAGACGCGAACAAAAGCGTCCTGCGTCATAGCCGTTAAACACACGCGCAGTACGCGCCACTCAGACCTCAGTTCTGTTCGACAAATTGTCGATTTTCACTATTGGTTTTTTCCCACCATATTGTACCGCTCTCGTTTGTCGTTTCGTTTCCGAACATCTTCCCTTGACAAGGATCGACTGCACAGACGTTAATTTCTTTGGTCGTCGACGAGCTAACCGGCGTCGATCGCATCGTCTCCCTCAGGAACGTCCGAGGTGAGTACTTCTCGATTGGGTTGTTGGCCCTATTTTGATAAGTTGTTCTGCTACGAACGAATGCTCAATGCATTCAATCTCCGTGGATGACTGAGACCACGTGACTTTGAGATCATGTCTTCGAACGACGTCAAGTCTGATGAAACGTATTTCGTAAAGATAATTATTTTTGGGGGGACTGTGCTGACTGTTGGTGATGAATTTATCCACAATTAACCTCTCCCACCCGCCTACGAGATCGATGTGCTTTGTCCAGTTATAGTAATATTCACTATCGGCTTGTGGTCCGTGTTCAGAATTTTTTTGTTATTCATCAAATATCTAAATTAATTTATTTTTTTCATCAGTTATAACTGTTATAAGTCTGGCAACTATGGCAATTAGTTGATTGTACGGGGAAACGGTTGGTTTGGAATCAGGCTCGTAGCCAGACCAAATTTTCAGGTGGTGCAAACTAAATTTTAGGGGGGCATTAGATATAAAAACAATATTAATTTATAATATTTTTATAGGGGGTAACGTTTGGGTTTAGGGAGGGAACCTAACCTTGAAACACATAATGTATGGAATATACTTTCTACTATAATTTAACTTGTTATTAGTAGGGCTCGGAAGTTGTAGGAATTGCATATTGTTCTGTATGATCAATTTATAGCAGACCTAGCTAGAAATATGAAATATACCTACAATTGCGAGTTAAAAAATTGAAAATTGAAAATGCATATTTTGCCAATTTTTTGCTAAAAAGTGCATATTTCATTAATTTTATACACATATTATGCATATTTCATATTTTTCTAAAAATAATTGATTTTTTTCTTTCTTAACCTGTTTATTTCAACTAATATTGAATATAAAACTCTAAATGACCAACAAAGGTATATATTGTCATCACCACAGTCAATTACGGAGTTAATAATAGTGATGTACTGATGTGATACGCATTTAGTCTATCACTCTAGTATGCCGAAATACTTTTTTGTAGTACTATCTTATCATCGATAAGTTATCATAAATATAATGATGGTTTCTTCATTTATTGTTACTGTTGATTGTACACGATTGATGCTTGACAGTGACAGTTTCGTTTTAGACGTTGTATTGTTGGTAAGTGAAGTGCATATATTTTTGGAATTCAGAATAATATTTTTGCATATTTAACATTTTTAATGCATATTTTGCAATTTTTTCGTGCATATTTAACTTTTTTAGCTCCTACAACTTCCGAGCCCTAGTTATTAGTAACACATTGACCACCTAGTCATGCTGTGAGATAGTTGAATGTCTTCGACTATTTGGCATAGTTTGTTAATAGTGACAATCAAGGGAGAATAGTGTAATGCAGCGTTTCTCAACCAAGGGGACACACAGGTCAAAAATAATAAAATGCTGATTTACAAAATGTACCTTTTATTCAAATATTTAAGACTTTTTATTGAAAAAATTAAAATAATAATAATACAATTATCCCGATAAGGATGTACATAAAAAATTAATAAATGTAGATATCTCATCAATAAAACGGGCACTACTCCACTAATGGAAATTCTTAACGACCAGATACATAACTTTCAAACTTGATAAGCTTAAGTTACTAGATATGGTATTTATAAATTGGTATTTAAAATGTTATATTTCGTATGATTAATAATAGGATATTTTTACTGTTTACATTTTTACCTAACCCAGATGGAGGGGGGGCCGCGAAGTGATTGACTATATTTTATACCTATTTTGGGGGTCTCGACACTAAAAAGGTTGAGAAATGATGGTGTAATGGTACCTTTATATTCAACAATTACTAGAATATATTTACAGTACCATCAATTTATATTGTAACAGATTACGTGAATAGTAGATATCAAGTAGCAAAAATGGAAGGTAAAATACTCGACCAGCAAACCACTGTTGATTGCAATCCAGATATGAAACCAATCATTAATGTAAAATCAAAACGCAAATATGATATAATTATTTTTGGCGCTTCGGGATTCATTGGGCAACTTATCGTTATGGAAATGGGACGCTTTTCTCAAACATACAATTTAACTTGGGCTGTTGCTGGACGTAACACTGAAAAATTACAAAATGTACTTGAAAAATTGTACAAAACTCTTGGTAAGATACTTATTTTCTTAAAACAATTAAAATGTAAAATAATTATTCAATTTAGGTTGTACAGATAACAGCTTTCATTTTTTAAGGAACGTTAAAAACCATTGTGTATATGTTTAAATTTTCAAACAACAATGGTGTTTTTCGTTTCTATAAATGATGAAAAGCACTGTCTTCAGTAATCAAATTATACTAATTTCTTAGAACATACAAATTAGTTGTATTTTATTTTTTYTTTGGTTTATATTAAATAATTTATTTTTTAAAGAAAGAATGATGACCTTAAAAGCACAGATTATATATAATTTTATATAATCTATGATAATAGTTTAGAAATTACCATAGGTATTATTATGTATGTTAAGCATTTTTTAATGTTTTTATAAAATATTATGTAGATGGTTATGAAGATAAAAAAATTGATACTATTTATGCTGATGTACAAGATATTAAAACTGTAATGAAAATGGCTCAAACAACTTCTGTGGTTATAAATTGTATTGGACCCTACTATATATTTGGAGAAGTTGTAGTTAAATCTTGTGTTTTTACATCTACTCATTATGTAGATGTATCTGGTGAATCAGTAGTAAGTGGTGTAATATAGGTTCAAATTTAGATTGATTGTTTTTTTTTTTTTATAATAGTATAAGTATATTTAGTATATCTAGTATATTTTTTTGTATAATAGTTAATGATTTAGAGTACATTTTTTTATTTATTTTTAGAAGCATGTAAATATATAATGTATTTTTGTTGCGTTATTATATGGTTAAAAATAAATAAATATAAGAATAAACTGTGCTTAAAAAAATCTTTATTTTGATATTTGTTAATTATTGGTATTTGATTAAGTAACACATTTGTAATTATAGTTTATGGAGAAAATGGCATATATGTATAATAGACAAGCTGAAGAAAACAATTCAATAATTGTTAGTGCACTTGGTATGGAGAGTGTACCGGCTGACTTTGGTGTAGAATTTTTATACAAAAATTTTAGAGGTATGTTAACAGTTTAAAGATACTTTGAAAAAAAAATGTAGCTATCTGAATTATTAATGTTTCATTTTCAGGTGAATTGAAGAATGTTGATATATATATGAGTCTTTATGACAGTTCATTCACATTAACTAATGTAAGTAATAGATATTTATTTATATTAAAATAATTAGTAGAATTTTGTTTTTTGTTTATGATACAATTTCAACATTATCTTCATTCATAAAATCCAATAATTAACCAACAGTCACATGTTTTGTAATAATTTTTTTTAATATATATATATAGAATCCATTTATTACATAAATAAAAAAATTTACATAATAAGCTTAGAGATTATCTACCTTCTATAAGAGAATACTTGTGTTGAAGGTAGAGAGCGACAAATTACTTACAAATAATAATTAAATTAATATAAATACAAACAAAAGAATAATATACGTATAATAGAGTACACAATATATGCTCGTAAAATATTATATAACTACCCTAAGTACAATATTAACCAGTTGTTAACAGTTTTTTTTATGTTTATTTATTATATTCTTCTTTATAATAATCGGCATTGAATTATAATAAGTAGGACCCAGGTAGTCCACGAATTTTTGACCAAAAGATTTTTTTAAATATATCACTTTAACATCATATGCTAAATGTTTCCTTTTTGTTTTTTCATTATTTTTAGTTCTCCAATTATCTATATTTTTACCTACCCATAAAATGGAAATTTTTTTAATAGTAAATCTACAGGTAATAATTTAAAGTTTTGACTTGTTGAACCTTTAAGAGTAGGTTTCTGTAGACATATCCGAACAATTTGCCTTTGTTGAATTAATAAAGGTTTTAGAGCATTAGCAGAAAGGCCTCCCCAAATAAGTAGACCGTATTGCAACAATGCTTGATATAATGCTAGATATACTGTTCGAACAACATATATTGGTACTACCATTGGTAATTTATAAAAGTTATAACTTATAGTATGTAAACGCATTAATAAATTGTTTACATGCAGATTCCATCTTAAGTTCTTATCAAAAATTAGACCTAAATAACAAATACTAGAGACCCTTAAAGGACTATACAACTAAAATAATCCTAATTTTTTTTATTGTGTTAAAATGTAGTGCTTAAAAAAAGAAAAATKTWGGTGGTATAAAAATTTTTGTCGGACAATTTCTTCAGAGCTTATTTATAAGTCACGTAAAACGCGTGACGTCATAAAATCACACCGTCCGCCGGGTCGTATCTAAAATACACGCGTTGTAGTTATT